CACACTATTTTTTTTGCAGTGTTCCAAGAATTACTTTGCACTGTTTTTGTCCTGTTAAATTTTCTCTGTTTGCGGAATTTTGCACAGTTTTCGATTACTTGATTACATGTTATTTATGTTATTACATGTTACTATTATTGCTATTGTGTAACTGTCTATTGTCTTATCTTCTGTCCTATTTATATACTGCACCTGAGTGACTAATGAGAAACACTTTTCATTATACTATGCACCTGTGTAAGTTTAATGGCAATAAAGTTGAATTGAATTAAGACTTGAACCTTTTGAGAGCAGTATCAGAAACTCAAAACACAGTCTCAAGACGAGAAAGTAAGATGTCATGGTTAACAGTGTCGAAAGCAGCACTGAGATCAAGAAGAATGAGGATAGAGAGAGAACCAGAATCAGAAGCTATAAGAAAATCATTCGTAACTTTGACCAGGGCAGTTTCTGTGCTGTGAAGTTTGATGGAGGCCAGATTGGAGGGGTTCGAAAAGGTTATTTATAATGTGGTGGTAATGTAATTGAAATGAGACAGCACATTCTACAATTTTTGCAAGAAAGGTTAAGTTGGAGATGGGGCAAAAATTGTTTACAGAACCAGAACCATTTTAGGTTTTTTTGGCACGGGGGTAATGGCAGCAGTTTTGAGGACCGCTGGTACAACACCAGCACTCAAGGATTCATTTATTATACTGAGGACAACAGGACAGAGAGAAGTGAAACAAGACTGAAATAAAGTGGTGGGAACAGGATCTAATATAGAGCTGGTGGATTTGATATGTGAAACTAGTTTACTGTGGGATGCAGAGTCAAGAAGAGAGAAGTTGGAGAGAAGGGATCCAGAAAAGTTTGACGAGCAGGGAGGAGGTTTGGGAATGATATGCATTGTGGAAAGAATGCCGGATGCTGTTGATCTTGGAGCTAAAGAAATCTAAAAATGTGTTGCAAAGCTGCAATGAGGAAGGTAATGTGGTGGGGCAGTTAGGCTTTAGCAGTCTGCTGATGGTGGAGAAAAGATGCCTGGGTTTGTTAGGTTTATTTTCAATGATGTGAGAGTAGTAGGTGGATCTAGCAGACTCTTATCGTATTCTTATATTCAGACAAGTAATCTTTCCAAGCCTGATAATGTACGTTTAGGCCAGAAAGACGCCACCTACGGTCAAGTTTCCAGGAGACTGCCTTCATAGATCGCAGATGGTCACTGTACCAGGTGGCAGAGCAAGAAGAAGAGATGGTGCGGGTTTATAGGGGAGCAAAAGTGTCAAGGGTAGATAAAATAGTGCTAATAAGCAAATGTATTTTGTCCCCTAGACATTATTTAACATTATACATTATATAAACTTAAAGAGATACTTTTCATAAACCAGCTTACCCTGAAATCCTTATTAGCTGTAAGCCAATTTGGGCAGCAGTTATCAACTCTGATCATTACAATTGTACATATCAAATATTATTAATAATATTAATATTACTAATAAAGTAATAACATGAATGAGCCTCTAGACAATCTTTTTCATTATGTTCTGAAAAAGCTCAGGAGGGATTGTTTCATGCCAGCCAGCTAGCGCATTACCACCTCGTAGTAGGGGGAAGGGAAACTGGGTGTGGGATTTTATTTCACTCTCCATCACTCTCCTACCCCCCAGACAGGCAAAGGTGATAAAGGTGATAAAAACTAATTCAAAAGGTTGCTAACAGAGCTGCTTGTAAGAGCAAGGTGACTTTCTGCGCAGTTAAATGAAAGCTATAGTACAGACAAATTTTAAATTCTTAATTTAAAATTCAAAATCAGATACTTTGCAAGCAGTACATGACTCTTGTGCAAAGGTTTAAGAAAGGTTTTGAACCTTGGACGGTATGCCCCAGGGCCTCATTCGTAGTATAATCAAAACAAAGCTCAGAAAACAAAGATTTACCAAGGTACACATCAATGAACTGCAGTGTAATCATATACTGTACATACAGTATGGTAGCGTATATTTTTAAATCCACTACAGTATAGTATGTGTGAAAATTTTTTACAGACACTGATTAAACACTCTGCTGGTACGGATGGGAACTGGATGGAGACAGATATTTTTATTACTGAACAGCCACCTTTACTACTCCCGCTCCCGTTCTCTCCCGCTCTGTTCCTGATCTCCCCCTGTCCTAATCACATTCTTTTCATAAACCTATGTGAATTGACTGTAATGCATAAAATGTTTATGAAGACGGTGTGTACTTTGCATTTTTTATATTTAGCTACAACTATCATCTACTATATGTACATTAGGTATATATTATATATGAGACCATATGGCTTTAAAGCCACTACAGTACAGTATGTGTGGAAATATATTTTTCACGATCAAAATTGAAAGTAAAATTATCCTGATTACTCATTGCTGAAATTTGCGTTAAGCATTTTGCATTGCAGTAGAATAATAAACTATTTTTCATATATTGAACTGAGTAATGTTGTTTTTGTAAAATTGCCACACTCTCTTTATTAATTAATTACATATTTAAAATACTGTAGTATACAATTTAAAATTAATAAAAGTCTAAAAGTATACAACTTAAATTTGATAATTGGAAAAAGATTGTCCCTCAGCATTGATCGGGATTCGAAACCATTTTTTTTGGTGACAGCCCAAATGCTTCCGCATGCCGCATTAAGCTTTCACTGCTCCACCTGGCGGTTTACAAAGTAGTGCAGTCCAACAACTGATTATTTTTAAAAATGTGTGGTAAAATGCAGCGCGGGCACTGCGATGTACTGCATTATCGGAGACATTCTGAATGGCTGGATCTGAACATTTAAGGTCTTACTGCTCCATATGCAGTTTTACAGAGTAGTGCATTCCTGTATCAGCTTATTTGAAAAAATAATAAAGGTGCCTTTTGTTGCCATACCAAGACAGGTGTTGCAGGACAGTGCTTTACACTTCGAGCAGTGTTGCCGGATTTAACCATACAAAATTTTACAGCTCCATAATGTATCTCAATAAGATAAGTAGCCCAGACAAAGACACTAGAGTTACAGCCAAAGCATCAAGCAAAGAACAAAGTACATGACCACTTGAGTCTGAGGCACCATGGCCTCTTGCACTACACAGTTCAAACAAAAAGAGGCTGTTTGTACATTAGAAAGGAAAGCACTGGAAAATAATTAGGAAATATTACTTGGTTGGAACTTTTTGTATTGTGGTAGGACTCTTTCCCTAACTGAACTGTCTGGGACAAGGAACAAAACAGGTATGGACTTTCATATCCATACAGTGCCTTGCGAAAGTATTCGGCCCCCTTGAACTTTTCAACCTTTTGCCACATTTCAGGCTTCAAACATAAAG